TTTAACTCTTTCATTACGGGTCACATGATCATGGGTCCACCTCGACCCGTTAATTAAATCGCTCGTTTTTCCGTCGGAATACATCGGAAAAAATATATAAACAGCTTGTTTTGAAGCTGAGAGTCTGGGCTATATAAAGCGCCGTGATTGGTCACTTGAAAATAACAAACGCAGTGATTGGCTGCCTTTTTGTGAACCTTTGCTAAAAGTAGCGTGTCATGCAACTTGACCTTCAGTTTACGCAATGGCGACCTGTTCTAAGAGGAGTCGCTTCAGTGCTGAAGATGTTTTAGGAGCTTTAGAAGTTAGAAATGAGTCCAACAGTGATCGTGGAGGAATGTCAAGCGGAGAGGAATCGGACATTGACCGCCAACTAATGGATTTGGACGAATCGATGAGGTGAGTCTAAAATATGTTACGCGGCCATGTCGGAAATATTTTGCGTGTTTGGGAAGCGATGTAATTTTAGTCGATATTTTCATATGTTGTCTTTGAAACATTGCTTATCATATCAAGAAATTGTTCAGAGATGTATTGAGCACTTTTCTTGGGTAAAAACGGTTGTGTTATGAGCAAGAAATACAAAATCGTGCCAGCGCTGCAGAGCTCTCAGATTACCGAGCGCCTAATTATGTCACGCATGGCCTATTGTTATCAACAAAATTTAAATACCCCGATTGAACGCTTTGCATACAGTTGCGTATTCCCAGGAAATGTCTTGTATATATAATGAAACATATTTGGAGTGCTAGAAGTACTATTTCACGACTGAGAGACGGAGCTCTTATGCTGAATTCGATGTTCTCAAGAAACTATTTGTCAGCTATCAATGTTTACTGCATGAGATATACTTATATTCACCACTTGAAACGGCTTGAGAGGGCATGAAACAATTAGAAATAATATAAATATTTATACTAAATAATACTGTATATACTTGTAACTATATAATGTAATTCACCTATGGTGTGAATTTATATATTTTTATTACATTGAAATACATTGAAAATATACATAGAGAAAAATAGTATATACAGTTGTGTTTATGAGGGTATGAGGAAATGGCTTGTAATCTTATTTTTTATTTTTCTTTCAGGTATGAAGAAGACTTTCCTGATCTCGTTCCAAGTGTTGGCGATGCTGGTGGTGCTGGTGGCGATGACGAAGATGACACTGAGATGTTGACTCTCCCAGAAAATGACGATGCCAGTGCTGATGATGAAGATGATGACTACATTCCTGGTGCTGAGATTGGTACCAGCAGTCCAGTTTGTGGTAGTGGTAAGCAGGCTGGGATTCCCCGCGGTACAACAAGTCGTAGAGGCCCGGCTAGGGGAAGGGGCCAGGCTAGGGGAAGGGGCCAGGGGGAAGGGGCCAGGCTAGGGGAAGGGGCCGAGGAAGGTGCAGGGGTACGGCCGAAGCTGGGGTTCCTGTCCAAGGGGGTGACCAGACCTGGAAGAGCTATGGGGACCCTGATGTTGGAAATGACATTCCACCATTTCAGCCAACCCGCCCACCCGGATTACACTTTGATCAGCGCACACTAAAACGAACCATGACCACGGCTAGTGAGTTCTTTCATCTTTTTTTTAGTGCAGAAATGTTAGCTAGTATAGTAACTCATACAAACACATACGCTTACAATAACATTGCATCAGGTACACACCATACCTACACAATGGCTGACGGTAGTTGGAAAGAAACCACCCCTGAAGAGATAGATAGACTAATTGCTCTTCTTCTTTATTTTGGTTTAGTGCGGGTAAGTACACAGTTTGATTATTGGAGTACTAAGTCCCTGTATCATGGATTGTGGGCCCGGGCCATAATGTCAAGGGATAGGTTTAGTGCTCTCATGGCCTTTTTGCATGTTGTAGACCCAAATACCGAAGACCCCGGAGATAGGTTGCGGAAAGTAAATGCGTTCATCACCTATTTCAAATCCCGTTGCCTTAGTTTGTACCAGCCCAAACAGAATCTTGCCATTGATGAACGTATGGTTAAATCTAGGCACAGATCTGGCATTAGACAGTATATCAGGGATAAGCCCACTAAGTGGGGGTTGAAACTTTGGGTTTTAGCCGACAGCAGTAATGGATATACTGTTGACTTCAATGTGTATATTGGGAGGCACGCTGCAGAAACTGTTAGTAATAATGGTCTGGGGTATGATGTAGTTATGGAACTAATTCAACCTTTTCGCCATCAGGGCTATCATTTGTTTTCTGATAATTTTTATTCATCAGTTGTTCTTTTGAGAGATTTATTTGATGTCGGTATGCTGGCAACTGGGACAATATCGGAGAACCGCAGGCAATTCCCAGTGAGCATGAAGAATGGAAAGCAGTGGGCAAAGAAATTGGAAAGAGGAAGTATGCGCTGGGAGAGGGTTCCTCCCTGCCTTTGTTTACAGTGGATAGATAACAAGGTTGTATCAGTACTAACAACCCTAGATAATGCTAACGATAAGGTTCCAACTGAAAGAAAGACTAAAACAGGTAATGTATGGACTAATGTAATAGTTGACCAACCCAAGGCCATCGATAGGTACGATAAGTATATAATGGGGTTGATCGTCCGGATCAACTCATAGGTACTAATAATGCTATGCGTAAGTGCTTGCGATGGTGGAAAACCTTGTTCTTCCATCTCATTGATATTGTAAATGGTTTCATTCTCTTTCAACACCGAGCCAATTTCCCAGACAGTGAGGATTTACAAAGACCCCCCGGGTACACGGTCCCTAATTTTAGGGAGGAGGTTATCAGGCAAAAGTGTGTTTGATTCAATTCATGTGCCATAGTTTACAGATTTTAGGAGACGGTGTGCAGTTTGTTACAAGCAGGGTACAGGTGAGTTCAAGGTGCACAAATATTGTGGTGCCCCACAGTGTGGTAAGTATCTGCATGTAACTAGGGAGAGAAATTGTTTTTTGGAATGGCATAATAGTGCATATCATGAATAATTAACATATACATGATCTAATATAAATAATGATATCAAAGATTTTGTTAGTATCCCACTCGATTGAATAACAGTTGAAGTATTTTGTAGATGGAAATTATTCATGGTAAATTTACATACATCCATACATTTATTAGACCTAACCACGAACAGCTACAAAAAATGCAACTATAGGTCCAGGAGTGAAATTCAATTCCAATACAGCAGAATCGAAGGGCCCCAGGGCTGATTCCTTCCAGGGACCTGTAGTCGCTTTTTTTCACAGCTGTTCCTGCTTAGGTCTAATAAAAGTATATAAATTCACCCTCAATAATTTCCATGTACAAAATCCTTCAACTGTAATATAAATAATGATAACATATACAAAAAAGGAAAATAAACAAAAAAAGTGGATTATATATAAGTGGGTGGTGTGTGGAGATCCAGATCCAATAAGTGAGTGATGTGTGGAGATCCAGAAGCACAAAATCAAAGTGCAGGAACATATATAATGTATCATGGACAAAATATTCTATGCATACTAATATTTTCCTGCATACATTTCAAAACAAGACACATCTCTATGTGTACTATGGTTTTTACTACATTTTAACGGTTTCGAGAAGGGTTATTCAAACAGCCGTAACTTTTTTCTTTTTATTCCTTTTCAGCCATACTTGCTGGACATGTTGCTAATAAATAAGTACAACTTTGTGCATTTAAATTTTTACTATACATTGCAATATGTGGAACATAGATAAGTTCATGTCTAACATTTGAAGACACATTTTATAATTTATGCTAAATTATGCAAATTTATTTCAAAATGTACTGTTTTTTTTCAAAAGTGAAATAAAATTTTGATAGCTTATTCAATAAGCTTTAAAAAGAGGTATAGCTTGTTGTGTAGTTGTGGATACTTGTTTGAGAAATAAGCCGAGGGAGAGGTGCGCTCAATTTATGGTGTTTTTGACCAGTAATGAAAGAGTTTTAAAACCTGTGCTGAAAAGTCTTGGAACATTTCTTACATATATTATTTTCAATTGCTTAATTCTCAAGACTTTTCTTTACCAAGTGAAAGAGATTTTCAATCGGATTCAGGTCAGGCGAATCTAGCCGGAATCTTGTGAAATTCAGCCTCGATTTTTTCCATTGCTTTTCACGCTACTTTACTCATCTGTGATGGGTCATTATCCATGAGAAACAAGCGACGATCGTTTTTTTACATCCGCATTTTGCAAAACAAGTATTAAAATACTTTCCAATGAACTCTGCAAAGAAACTGCCATTCATTTTCTCATAGGGAACTTTGAGAGCTAGCGACAATTACGATCGCTCGTAAACTTTTCTTGGCCGACCCTTAAGTTGTTGCCTTTTAACGGTTTAGATCTCAGCGCAGCTGGTTGTTGGTCTTCCCTCTATATTCTTGCTACTGATAAAGGGCTTATATGACATTTTCTCACGATCTTCCTTGAATGAATCTAATTAATGAAATGAATATTATTTTATTTTGTAGCCAGCCTCATTTTATATACACGGCATTATCATGATTGGTAGTAACACCCCCCCCACACACACACACATAATACATCATAATTATCAATATTACGACGCGCATGCTAGGTTTTCAATAACTCCCAACAAAATCGTCTAAAACACGCCACCCAATATACGTAGAAAACACCTCTGCGTCAAAATTTATATATGTACATAAATTTTAGTTTCATTTTTATATTCGGACAATCTTGGTCAAAAATATTGGCGCACTTGACACTGACTGTGCGAAATTTGACTCCCACATCAAAAACAAGCATAGCAACCCCCCCCATTCCCTGTTCAATGTTGTGTGTAGTGTGTTATGCGTCCAAGGTGTTACATAATATTGATAAGGGGCATAGGGGGTGTTTGGACATGAAATTTTGCATAAAATAGGCAAGTATGTATATGGTAGTCAGAAATGAAGTAAAGGTTATGCTATTTTGACTAAGTGCGCCAAGGATTTTTGACCATGATTGTAGCTTCGTTGGCTTATTGATAAATACTGGCAATTTTGGTCTAGCTTGTAATATATTTAAAATGTTGTATTGGCAAACAAAAGAAAATAAAACCCTAATACCCTATAATACTTTTTGTTTGTGGAAAACCATGCAAATGTATTACTGCAAATAATAATTTAAATAAATAAATTTATTTAAATAAATAAATTTATTTAAATGTAAATTTATTTACGTAAATTTATTTATTATTTACAGCTATTCAAAAACAGCAATGAACTTCCACTCATTGAGTGTGAGCGTGAGTGAGCTTTTAGAATATGGGCATATGTTCTGTGTTTTGACATGTGTTGAGTATATTCACTTACAATCAGTTACAACCTCAAACAAACCAAATTTCATGCCGTTTGGCATGGACTTTCAAGGAGTTATAGACTAGACTGTAGTGGTTTCCCAACAACCTAACCAAACAACTAAACCATGGCAGGCAAGGGAGTTAGTTATATTATTCCAGCTGATCCTAACAAGTTGTTTTGCAGATCCAGAATGCACTGGCAGTTCACTCTTTACCGTGGGAACTGCATGTGTGGTCAATATGGCATGGTTGACAAAATCGATTGGTCAAAATAACTCATTGGTTGCTGGTCAAATCTTTATTAAATGTCAATTTACAAAACTCGATGCAGGAGTAACCAACAACCTGTTATCGTATTCGTATCATAAAGAAGAAGACCACTATAATTATATGTGTGCAAATAGTCTGCCTATTATTATAGTTTCATTTAGGTCACTTTGAGTCATTTTAAATAGTTGTCAGCATATATTAACTGGTCCAACCAATCACAACTTGGATTATTACATAAATACATCTGCATAACTGAATATAAGTTATGCTAAGTCCTTCGGTGCAAGTCAACTATTGAAACTTGACATTTAACAATTATTGAATGAGGTTGAGCACAATATGAAGAATTATCAAGCCTGAAGTTTGCCGTTATGAATATGGGCTTGATAATTCTTGATATTATTTTTTTTTAATCAAAACAAACGGAAGCCATTTCTATTTTATTTGTTAAATTAAGAAAAAACAATTCTTTAGTCCTTCGGCAGCCGTTGTCATTATCATATCAATGGCGTCTGCAAGTCAATATGAATCTTGTCGTCATAGTAATATGGCACAAACGCGTCATATGGACTCTTTGACGTCATTTTGCTAATATGAAAAATCCATATTTGGTTAGCCATTGAGTTGATATGACAATTTCACAGTTAGGTGTTAGCCAATCAGAAACCAGGAATTTTTTAAATAAATAATAACAACAATTATTGACTTTTAGGTATTTATAATTATATAAGTGTAAGTTATAGTAAGTGTAATTATTGTACAGTCTTAAATTTATATATATGTGTGACTTATCGTCATATATTTACTAATTGCGTGCGAGGAAGCACACTATTCTTGACACACGGTGGTTTCTCCAGAATCCACTTGACCCAGTCTTTTGCGCGATCTATGTATTGTCGAGATCTCGATTTGTGTCTGTCCTTCTGTCTGTAAAGATGCATTCCAGGTGCAATAATTAAGCATCAGGAAGTTTTTTAAACAAGGGGGGCAGTCAAACTTTATTTTGTATTGTGCACGCATGTTTCTTCTCAAGTTTTTAATACAAAACCATACAAGTTTATTTATTATACACTCACACACACTTAACCAATCAGTAATCATTGAGAGGGTCACATGCCGATCCAATAATTTCGATATTGGACAGGAACCTATTGGACAGTTGTGAATTGTGGTTTTCAACCTTTTCAGACGTTTTGTCAATTTCAAATATACAACAAGCGATATGGCTGAGTTATGAAAATCATTTGGGACATTAATATAGTTTTTTTTTACCAGTTTTGTTTAAAATTATAGAAGCACAGGAAAACTTCTCTTCGCGAAATTTATTTGTTTGCAACAACCTAAAAGTTAGTAATATTATTTTTTTCGTTAAAATTAGGTCAAATGTCCTTTAAACATACATGGAAATGAGTTTATTTATGCACACATATTTGTAAAAACAGGTTTATTATCTTTTTGTTTAGTTATTTAAGCAAATTTGCCGCCGATATATGTAGTAATGTTGTCCCTGTAGTATTCTTGCTGTATTACTTTATCGCTTATTGACAATTTTTTGTTATAGAATTGTTTTGTTCGATATAATTCTCGTCTTGGATTCGTCTTCGCCCAATATGGCAAAATACTAAGTCTCGCCTTCAATATTAGGCTCGACCTTCGGTCTCGCCCAATATTGAAGTCTCGACCTAATATTTTTCCATATTGGGCTCAGAAAAATCCAATAAGATATAATGTTGGATTGCAAGCGATTGATATTTGACAATATCAAAGAATAAATCAGGTAAGAATGACTTTATTTCTTTCTGGTGATATACATGAAAGCATTTAATATATGTAGAGCATTTAATGTTAAGCATTTAATATATGTTGCCATATTGAGACATATGATTTCATGATGTCAATAAATACATCTTATGAGTTTATACTGTTCATTCTAGATGTTTATAGGAATAGTGCTTTCAGCACGTTTTATAATTAAAACAAATGCGGACTGTTACTTACATATATCAATATATGCAGGTAATCAGGCTTTTATATATTATTAGTTCAAATTTGTGCGTTTTTCTATTGTTCTCAGTCGGGTTTAATTTGGGTAAAATTCTTAAATTAAAGCAAGGGGAGGGATTTGGTATCTCTAGGGAAAAGTGGGGTTGATGAATAGAATTGAATTAATAATAAATTCACAGGTTTTATCTATATAAAGCTCGGCTTTATACAGATAAAACCCTAAGAAAGCCAGGTTTTATACAGATAAAACCAGATGCAGAAATGCACCGACTTACTGCTTTTACACACACTACAATCAAAACATTACAAAAGCTAATTATTACAACAATGTACCATATACTATACACGTACCAGTTGTTCCACTCTAACACACTATAGCTATATATTTCGTACGATAAAATGCAAAGTCAAATTGTTCAAATTAATATAAGTTAAAAATGCACCAATCAAAAGAACTTGCCTCGGGCATTTCCAACTGTGCTCTCTTCCTTTCCATATTTAATATTGGGTCTTTCATATTTCTGCAACGATCTTATGTTGCGATGACAATTCCTCTCCATGAGGAACTTTTGCAGTATAAAGATATCTTCATTGTTCATAGTTTAACCACCGCTCACTCTCCATGCATGCATACATGCATACCTGAAGAAAATGCACCATCTACATGTCTAGCTAAATTTCTATATGAATTTACAGTATGCTGTACGAACAAACATTTGGAATATTAATTCATTTTCCTAGTTAATTAACAAAATATGACTGCTATAAGTGTTTACGAGATAGACAAATCATATAGAATGCTTTTCAACATATACCAACAAAAGAAAATTTACAAAGCGTGACTTTCCTTAATTTTTATTTGTTCTACCTTAGCCTATTCGTAGAGCCTTGTGCATGCACTTGATCATTCACTGCATGCCCTTGTTCTGTCTTGTAAGTAATTTAGTTTATGCTTATACTGTACATGCATGTACCTTTTGAATTCCTTAAGGAGTAGTGGGTGTAAGTATGATCATATTTTTTAAATCCTTACAAATTTGAACTAAATTAGTTAATTACCTCGAACACTGGTTTCTTAACGAGAAACATCCATTTCCGCCCAGGCAAACAAGACAGATATTTTTTCCTGTAAAAGTGCAGCGCAATATTTTTTCCCCAATATATTTCGCGAATCCCAAGAGGGGGGCATAGAGTAGAGTGCTCGAAAATGGGGGGAGGAGGGTACAGTACATGAACAACCTGTAACCTTGGGGGTTTGGGGGCAGCTCCCTCAAGAAAATCTTAAAATTTGAACCTCGGAAATGCTATTTCCTGTGTTTTCAGCCACAGATTTGTCCAACAACTATGCCATACCAAGTCTAAGGAACACTTACTGTCCCTTATTTTAAACAAGGAAAAATCACAAAAATGAGCTTTGGTTAATATGTAATAAAACAAGATTTCAAGAATCTCTAAACTGCCATTTTTGCATTAAAATCATCATATATATACAGTATGTTCAACTTGCACCCTGTAGATGGGCCTTCGCAGCTTTAATAGTTTGGAGCTATGTAATAAAAAACGCACAGACTTGAAATGCATATTAGGTATGTATAAATAACTTATAAACTTGTACATTTCTTAAGCCCAGATTTTCCCAGGGGGGGGGGCAACAATTTTTCCAGTGAATGCCACTGGCTATCAAATGTTAGAGGCTCCAAAGGCAGTAGAATCCATGTGATAAAAATGTTGTCCACAGTTCACCCCAAGTTCTTTTAAGCAAATGTGCTTGCACAAAAATGCAAAATCGTGCAAGTTTGTGGACACAATACTGAAGTGAAGAGCGTCAGTAGATTTACATGCAGGAATTTACATGCAGGAATTTACATGCAGGAATTTACATGCAGGAATTTACATGCAAAATTCTCTTTTGCATATTTTTTTTTCTCGATTGTATGTTGCATGATTTTTTCTTTCTCCTTGGGTTACAGGAAATTTTTTTCGAAATCTTCCACCCCCCCCTCAAAAGTCAAATGGTCCGCCCCTAACTTATCAGGCAACTAGCAGTTAATACATGTAAATAGCATGTCAACCGACATTTGTACAAGTATGATGCCTGATGGCCTGTTTATATCTTTGAGACATTTCCACTGGCATTGTTAACATAATATGAACTAATCCTACTAGGCTACTCATACATTCACCTGACTGTGTCACTACATTTTCAGTGGTGTGCTATATTATACAATAATGATCACAATTTCTTATTATATAATTTTGTGGTTCTGACTGAGAACAATGAATGGTGTCATCTGAAGCTGACATATTTTAAAATTAAACAAGAATGGCCAACAAATAGATTTTGCCTCTCTATCAGATTGTTCGGTTGTTGTTTTTTTTGCGATAGGGGTAGCCTTGGAGGTGCCATGTGAATAATAACTTAGCTTAGTAAAGTGCTCCAGGATTCAAATTATAACAATGGTTGATTTCTAAAGGTCTCCTTTTTCTAATACATGCACTATGAAAAGGCATTCAAATTTTAACAATATGCTTGATTTTTAAAGGTCTCCTTTTTTTATACACCCTGTACAGGTACACCCTGTACAGGTACACCCTGTACAGGTACACCCTGTACAGGTACACCCTGTACAGGTACACCCTGTACAGGTACACCCTGTACAGGTACACCCTGTACAGGTACACCCTGTACAGGTACACCCT